GTCCCTATCCGTGTTTTACTTATCATACACCTTGAGGCATCTCTCAGCTCCTTGCCTATTTACCGCCACTTTTTCCTAAATATTTTCACAATATCATTTTCACATCACAATTGCTGCACTCAGCGGGAGAGAATGGTATTATTGTTCAAGAATTGCAAGTTGCAGGAGTTATCACAAATCATATCTTATGTTGGGTTCGTCTAGGGTAGGGACTTAAAATACAAGCTTTTAATGCTAACACCGTATTAAGCATTATCTTTTTTATCTCACTGAAAAGTGACCGTTTCATCCCCCTCTCTTTTAGTTGTTGAACTGTGGAGTTGGATACTTTTTTGACCTCCGCCAGTTATATTTCCTACCTGGAGAAAATGAGGTATAAAACCGCCCTGAGAAACCCCATTTGAGAGGGTCTGGGGAAGTGAAGACGGAATGGATAGTTTTGACAGCTCACCCATTAAGGAATCTTTTGCAGATATATTCAGGGAATTATAAACCATAAAATGCCGCCTCAGACTCCCGCCTTCCCCTTTTCTAAACCTATCTTCCTTCTGTCCCTCTTTTCAATATTATACCATACCCTCATCTACTCCATTATATTCCCCCCCTCCCTTTTTTACCCTCCCTTGAACCTTTATTTACCGTGTTCCTACCCATACCTTAACCCAGTCCCTCGCCACCTCCTCTCTTTTTTTCCACATTTACTCTTAACCCCTCCTTTACACATGCTCATAAATTTGACCCCCCCTTCTCACCTCCCCTTTTATAAACCTTCCCCCCTTCTCCACCAACCTTAAACTCTATTCCCCAAAACTCCCGTTCCTTTAAACTATAACCCCTCCCCTTCCCTTAAACTATAGCCCCCCTTCTCCCCTCCTCTTAAACTTTGACAACCTTTCTCCCCTCATCTCAAACTTCCCCCCCCCCCATCAGGTTTAAATCATCTATTTCTCCAAGTTTAATGTATGTTTATACTTCTAGGTTTAGCATCAGGTTTAAATCATCTAATTCTCCAAGTTTAATGTCTGTTTATACTTCTAGGTTTAGCATCAGGTTTAAGTCATCTAATTCTCCAAGTTTAATGTATGTTTATACTTCTAGGTTTAGCATCAGGTTTAAATCATCTAATTCTCCAAGTTTAATGTATGTTTATACTTCTAGGTTTAGCATCAGGTTTGAATATTCTAGGTTCTCCAGGTTTAATGTATTTTTATACTTCTAGGTTTAGCATCAGGTTTAAATCTTCTAGGTTCTCCAGGTTTAATGTATGTTAATACTGCTAGGTTTAGCATCAGGTTTAATTCATTTAGGTTCTCCAGGTTTAATGTATTTTCATACTTTCAGGTTTAGCATCAGGTTTAAATCATCTATTTCTCCAAGTTTAATGTATGTTTATACTTCTAGGTTTAGCATCAGGTTTAAATCATCTAGGTTCTCTATTAGTAGCATGAACCTCTAATACTCCGAATAATCTAAACAATATGACAGATCGTCGGCTATTATCAAAGCTGCCGATGAATGCCTTCGGCCCCAACCCTGGTTTATTTTCACGATATCTCTCCATCAAATTTGCATACTTTTCCATGCCATAAAATTGTCTAAAGCTGAGATACAGACAATGGAGAACAAACACTTAAAACATCCGACGCGAAATTATTTAACACCCGTTGTATGAAATTTTATGGACGCGCCAAATTTAGTAAAAAAGGACGTGGTCGGACACGGATCAAAAATCTGTTCCAAATATAGACTAATGGGGCAAAATACGTTTTTATTTGGGGAAATTAATTCACGTGGAGTTTTAATAAGACACTTGACAGATTGACAGGTTGGTGAATAGACATGAAGAATGGACAGTAAGTGTAAACACCCATTCTTCTTCTTCTCCTCCGCATCCTCCTTCTCCTATTTCTCCTCCTGCTCCTTCTCCTCCTGCTACTTATCTTCCTCTTTCTCCACGAGATTTTGTTCAAGTATACTTATGCTTTCAGGACGAATTAAATTCTTCCGTGGGGTTAGAATCAGTAGAAAATCTACTGGTTTAGGACGGATATCAGGGTACAAAGCAGATTCAGGTTGGATATCAGAGTGCAGGATAGATGTCAGGGTTTAGGAAGGATACCAGGGTTCAGGACAAACATCTTAGTTTAGGACTGGACGGGTATCAGGGTATAGGACGGAAAACAAGTGGCAGGACGGATATCAAGGTGCTAGAATAAGTACACCAGAAAGATTTCTGCTAAAATTAATGACCGCGGGAACTTTATGTCCAACTCCGAGAAATCATAATTCTTAGAACAGTTTCAATTTTTCTTTTCTCCAGACCCCTCCTCCCTGGCGTCTCTCATCCCTCTCCCTTGCCCCCCCCCCCGCAATACTGGTGATTCTATGATATTTTAGTTCTTTCAAGTTTCTGTTTGCGTGAGCAGCCATTTTTTAGATAAAGATCAATACAGACGGTTCCACAATATGGACTGATTTCCCCTCTACCTCTTAAAACTCGAGAGGGAATCCCCCCCCCCCTGAACCAAAATTACAAGGGGAAAATTTGAATATTATATACTGGCAAAAACTATGCTTTGGTATCCTCAATTTCCCGATAAATTCCTTCTCTCTGATTACAGGGTTGGGAGGGTTCGAATTTGCTGAGTCAGAATTACTCCGTGGATTCCAAGAATTAATAAATTTTCAACACGAGCTTTTCCGGGTGCCCTTAATCATAGGAAAGCTTCTCTCTATTCTCTTAGGTAGTCTTAATTATAAAGGATTTTCTCTTCGTTCTTCCCTGGGTACCATTGATCATTATGAGAGCTTATTTCTCTTCGGGTAGCCTTAACCTCATGAAAGCTTCTCTCTATTCTTATCCAGGTGCCCTCAATCATAGGAGAACTTTTCCTTATTCTTCCACCGGTAGTTTTGTTTATATGAAAGCTTTTCTCTCTTCTTCTCCAATTAGCCTTAATTATAAGAGAACTCTTCTCTATTCTTCGTTAGATTTCCTAGATCACAGAAGAGCTTCTCTTCATTGTTCTCCAGGAGAGATTTTCTTATTCATCTGAATCTCCTGAAACCCTTCATTGGAGAACTGCTTTATGTCCTTATCCATAGCTTATTCTTATTCGTATCCAGGTATCCTTAATAATAAGGGGGCTTCTCTCTTACTCATGGTATACAAACAATTATACCATATTATGTCAACGTATGTTTAATGTCTAAAATAAATCCAATATTTTTATTGAACTTTATGTGGTATTAAAAACATTTGATATTTTTGATAAATAACATTTTTTTTATAAACTCATTAAAGAAAGGAATTGAGTCTTTGTCACAAACTATGATTTTCTAATCTCTATATCTTTGTAATCCAATGCCGTAGACCTTAGATATTTTAAACTATGAATTCTGTTAGATGAAAAAAAAAGTTTGAAATATCAAAGGTTTACACCATCAGGTGGTAAAAATATAGGTATTAGAAAATTTGTTACAGAGACTCATTTCCTTTTCTGTAATCAAATATATTTTATATTTGAATAGAAACCTACGAATGTTTTTATTTTATAATTTTGAAGGTAATTTAAAGTTAAAGAACAAAAACGATTTAGATATTAGCTAATACATGATATGCATATTCGATATGTAATTATTTGCCTTCATTCATCACGAAAACTGGCAAAATATAAACATAAATAAAAATATATAAATTTGTAAAAACTTAATATTTTGGTCTTGAAATAATTCTACTTGTTGCAACCAATATGAATTGTTATGCTACAGGGTGTCCCAAAAAACATGGGAATTCAGTGACGAATTCGATATCGTCTTTTCAAATAATTCTTTGATTTAGTATAGTGATACCTACTGAGAAAGCTGTAATCTGTAAGAGTTTCGTCTGCTATGTTTACATTTTGTTTGTTTATGTTTTGACTGCATACGGTTGTACTTAGTAAAACAAGAAAATTGCAGTATACAAACAGAGTAAACTTGTCCGTCTTCACTTTTCATCTTGCGGAGACATTATAGACACATCTTTACAACCTTTTACCCTTTTCATAAAATAAACTCTAGCAGACATAATAATATTATGGCTTTTGAAATTAGGTATTACTATGCTAATTCATAGCAAAGACGATATCGAATTCGTCACTGAATTCCCATGTTTTTTGGGACACCCTGTAGCTAAATCATCCAACACTAGAAATAATATTAATAAAAACTTTTTTCTTTTTGAAATCCACTTAGCTTAAAGAAACTAAATCAAAATATATTTGAATAAATCATTCTGACGAACAAATAAAAATAATATAAAAACCTTACACATTTAAATATTTTTGGAAATTAGAATTCTTATTACTGTAAAAAAGCTAACTTAACTATCTATCTCTACTTGCTATACTTTAGATATTATTACTTCATTTGATCTATCTCTTTTGGCTACTTTTTCAATACTTATTTACTTTTCTAGATATTCAAACAAAAACAATTAATATATATTTACTATCTACCAATATTCAACGCTTCTTTACTTTTCTAGATATTCAAACAAAAATATTCAATCTATCTTTACTATCTACCAATATTCAATATACTTCTTTACTTTTCTAGATATTCAAACAAAAATATTCAATCTATCTTTACTATTTATCAATATTCAATGCTTATTTACTTTTCTAGATATTCAAACAAAAACATTTAATCTATCTTTACTTTCTACCAATATTCAATATACTTCTTTACTTTTCTAGATATTCAAACAAAAATATTCAATCTAATATTCAATGCTTATTTACTTTTCTAGATATTCAAACAAAAATATTTAATCTATCTTTACTATCTACCAATATTCAATATACTTCTTTACTTTTTAGATATTTAAACACAAAAAACATTTAATCTATCTCTTTTAACTTCCATGGTTTTCCAGATATCTAAACAACAAAAAGAAACTAACTTTTGTTTTGTGAATAGAAAAAGTAAAATTGATTGTTTTATTATTGCACAATAAAATATGAAATAAAATACATAATACTGTTTTATCTCACTATTTAGAGATTAGATTGATCAACAGAGAACATTTAAATTAACTAAATAAATAAGCAAAACAAATTCTTAAACCTAAAAATATCACAGATTATGAGTAAAATTTTGAACTTGGAATTTGGGACAACCAGGTTTTTTTATATATGAGCTAAATCAATTATTTGTTCTTGTCTTCTTGTCCAAACATGATCTTGGCATCGATGTAGAGACTCTTGTTCTCTAGACTGCTTGGTAGAGATATATTGGAGCTAGGATAAACCTTATCCAAATACTTGACACTCTCGTTGAGATAGTTCTGAATAGAGGTGAGAGCAGCAACTATAGCTGGAGAACCGAAACCGTGTGTAATCATGGAGAAATGGGTTAGATGTCTCTGTATACTAGGATCTAGGATAGGTTGGGGTCTGGTGTTGCAGAGAGGAGATCTATCCTGGTTTAACAGGTCCATCAACTCTTTACAGATGTACCTAGAGTAAAAGAATGTGAAAATTGAGGAAATCATAAATATCTGATAAAAAACATAATATATGTTTTTAAAACATATTTAAAAAGAGAACTTACTTTGATGCATAAAGTAGTTCTTTTCTCCTGTACATATCGGATGGATCTGTATGCTGTCTAGAGAGATACTCCGCAACCTGCCGGGCTGGGAACTCTGTCTCACACACGTACCCGAAGTCCCTGGCCAGGTGAATCGCCTCCCCCTCCACCAGGGATGTCAGCAGGGTCACGTTGGCAGCCTTCCTTCTCCCAGCAGGAAGGGTCATTCCTAATTTATCCAGTTTATCTCTTAACAGTTTTCCTCCGTCCTTGGACTTGGCTCGTCGGAGAACTCCTCCCAGCAGGGACGCATTGAGACACTCCGGAGGAGAGAGTCTTCTCTGAACCTCAGCTATGGTGACCTTGTACTTAGAGGTTGAGGAGAGGAGGGAGAGCCTACCCGGAGTAGAACAGAAGATATCTGTGGGAAGAACCTTCATCATATTTTGATTGTGAGGATCCTTGTTCGGAGAGAAGAGAGTCAACTCTTTCTTGATCGGAGAAACACTTGTAAAATGTTCAACGTTTGGTTCAGGGAGATTCTCTTGTAGGATCTCGTGACTCTCAAATCTCTCGTAATCCCGTCTTAGAGAGTCATATGGGAAGGAGTGAAGGTTGGATTGTTGAAAATGTTGTTGGTATGGATCAGAGATAGGTTGGAACAGATCAGTCTGATGACTTAGGCCTCCGACGGAACCTTGGAGGGAGCTGGAAAACGGAGGAGGAAAATACGGAGGCTGAAACTCTGTCATTGTGTTAAATAAAAAAGATGTCTACTTGAAAAATCCTATATTCGGATGAATGAGTCTATATCATGTGTTCAGAATTGATCTCCTGTTTGTCCACCTGTTGATCGACTACTGAGCACGGTCAATGATTGTATGTGTGTTCTACTCCGCGCGTTAAAATTTCCTGGTCAGCATTCGAGCTCCGTGCTCTAGAGTAGACCCAGAGCTCCGTGCTCTAGAGTAGACCTAGAGACGCGCAGTAGCTCCGCTCAGACCCAACCAATCCGTACTAATTACACACAAACACAAACACACACTCACACTCACATACGCACGCTCGTAAAAGTACAATTTAATTTTCACAGTTGAAGTAAACCAAATTTTTTAAAGTTTATTGTTTGCAATGCAGAGAAGGGGTAATTATCTTCATTGTTGCTAATTTTGATGCAAATCTTGGATAAAAAAATAGAAAAACATTTATTTTTCCGTTTTTAGAATAATTCACAGGGTAATTAGAAAAAGCTCAGGGGCTTTAGAACAGTCTTATATACAGTAAAATCTCAGATAGGTGGAAACTATATATACATGTATACTAACTAACTATCTTATATACAGTAAAATCTCAGATAGGTTGGAAACTATATATATATACATGTATACTATCTAACTATCTTATATACAGTAAAATCTCAGATAGGTGGAAACTATATATATACATGTATACTATCTAACTATCTTATCAGTCCTTCTCTCTTCTCAACTTCTACCCGGGGCTATCAATGTTCTGCCCCTCTCGTATAAACAGAACCCACCCTCTTTACTCCTCAACCCCCCCCCTTTCCACCTTCCTTTCCCCCTTTTTCTCCCCGTCTTTTACCTTTCTAACCTTTCCTGATCCACCTTACCTCACTATTCTCTCTCACCCTACAATCTATCTTTAGTATATAAAAGGAGTTTATGTCACAAATTCTTCTAATCACTACATTCTTGAAACCAAATGTCGTAGATCATAGATATTTCAAAGTATCAGGTACAGACACAGGATTTTAGCCGGGGGGCAAGTTTTCGCGCGAAGAGCGGAATTTTTTTTGCCCCCTCGGGCGTTTTCCCCTCCATAGCCTTAAAAATCCTGTTATTTTATATTAAGTCTACTAAATGGCCCCTATGTAGCCATTCGATTACTATAACTAAGGCAGAATATTTAATTTAACTTTGGGATTGTCACATTTTAAGAGTTATGGTCGTGTCATCTTTTGTGAGCAACCATGTATATTATAATGTATCCCTCTGTATAGTTCTGTATTACTCTCTGAAGTCCTGAGTAGTCTCCTGAGACTACTCCCCTTTGCAGTCCACTGTAGTCCTAATGTAATCTCCCCTTGACCTTCATGGGGGTTGCGGGAAGACATGCATTAATGCATAAAGCTTTAATTGTTTAGCAAGAAGGATGGGGGGGGGGAGATTTTAGATAAAAGGGAAATACTAAGGTAACATTTGAAAGTAAATGGCGCAAGAAAATGTTCAACTACTTTTTATGGAGATGAGGGCTAGCTCATTTTTTACACACCACACCTGATTTTAACCTTTGCCCATTAATCCCAGGGGTGGGGGGTGGCGAGAGGACCACTGCCCCCCTCTGTGTACGTGCCTGTATGAATTCTGTTAGATCAAATAATCTAAGTTTGAAATATCAAAGGTTTACACCATCAGGTGCAATGATATTGGGATTATACCACTTGAGTTTGTGGCAAAGACTTAATTCCTTTTTATAGCTATCAATGTTCTGTCTTTCTAATCTAAACTGAATCATCCCTCATCCTCCTCTTTTCCTTATCCTCCCTTCCTTCACTCCCTTCCTTTATCCCCCCCCTGCTTCTCGTCCGTGTTCCTTGTCTCCAGTTTTCGTCCTTCGGTCTTTATGGTGGCTCGGGTTTTTTTATCCAGTTTTTAATCCTCTATTTTTAAAGTTTTTCTAGCAATTTCTCTTTTAATTTTGTTATCTACGTTTGCTCTAATAGAACATCCTCGTGTCTATTTCATTTCATTTCCTTTTCCTTCCTTTCTCGGATCTTAGTTCCCCTAATAAACATGCAGTAACCTATTTCCAGGAATTATTTCCAGGATTTTGTGCCAATAAAAGGGCGCGTATTACAGCGCTGTTAAACCATATAACTCGGATATAGTATATTTAGGAACCCGGAGAAACCTCAGGAAATAAACAAACCCGGAGAAACTATCCCAGGAATATAAAATCATTCTGGTTAATAAACAGCTCTAGGTCTCCCCAACAATACGTCGTTTAACGTTATTTGATTTAAAATCTTTTTTTTAACAATGTAACGAGGAAATTTGTTGGTATTAATGTTTTTACGATTTTTATGAATTCTTTGAATAAGAAAACTAGAATAAATTGTAAATCTTTTGTTTGGATCAAATACATGGAAATATTTTTAATTTTTCAAAATTTTACAGTTTTAGATTTATCACCAATTTTAATGTAAGGACTAAAGTATTGAAGCTGTAAAAATTTATATCCAAACCTATTTTTTTTGCGTTAGATCGAGAAAGAACCTTATCCTCATTCTGTTTTGTCTAAGCCTATTCTTATTTGTCTAAACCTATTCCCCTAAACCTAAACCTATTCTCTTCTACCTAAACCTACTTCCCTAAACCTAATCATATTCTCTTCTACCTAAACCTACTTCCCTAAACCTAAACCTATTTTCTTCTACCTAAACCTACTCCCCTAAACCTTCTTTTGAAACATATGTTCCTAGAATGAATATATTGGTTTGTGTCTATTATATCTAGTATTAGTTGGTGGTAATATTATTATTCTCTTTTCTTTTTGAAACCAATAAATACCCCTTAAGCTTAGTTTTCCTTGTTTATGGTTAATTAAAACCCTTTCCTTATTTTTCTAAACCCCTTTCTTTTATTTTTATCCTTTCCCTTTTTAAACCCTTTCGTTTTCTTTCTTACTCGTTTCCTTTTCCTCCATCAACCCTTTCCTTTCCCTCTTTAATCCTTTACTTATTCTCCTTAACCTCTTTCCTTTCTCTCCCAGACCATTTAGCTCGTCCACCTTAACCCTTTCTTTTCCTTTCTTATCCCTTTCCTTTCCCTCCTAAAACCCTTTCATTTTCCTTCTTAACCTTTATTTTATCCCCTCTTCCTTAACCACTTTCCTTTCCCTTCTCGTGCCTTTCCTTTCTTTCCTTAAACCCTTTTCCTTTTCTTCTTAATTTTCCCTTAGGACTCAAGTAATCATTCCATTCTTTCTCTCTCCAAGTGGAAACCAACTTTTTACTCAAATCTTTCTTTTATCTTGTTATTACTCAGTTGTTTACCCCCCTCCCCCCCCCCTCCTCGCCTCTAAACCTATTCATCATGGTTTTTCCTCCGCTAGGACGAAGATATGCAGAATCTATGTAATTTTAACCTAATTTGTATTCTTGGTTGGAACCCTACAGCTCCCCGTGCTCCTTTACAACCTGGAGTAATCTGATTAGACCCGTCCTTCTTGATATTTCATTTTTATTCCACACAGATTGTCCAAAGAAACTGCATTACGATGATTCAAGTCTTCTTTACTTACGCAGAATTAATTTAGAAAATGTGTTTACTGATTTCAAACATCGAAAAAAAAAGTTGTCAAAGTTTCTTATTTTTTATAATATAAAAAAGGCCTAAAAAATGCGTTGATTTTCAAAAATTAAGTTTTCAAATATTTCTCATGTTTTTTTGGGACTACCTGTACCATATCTGCATAGAGTCTTCCCAATTATTTCCTTGGGTTTTTAATAATATACATTTATTTTTTTTCAAAGATTTAGCCTTTTTCCGAGAGCCCAGACGTGTGCCAGCGTGTATAAAAAGCGTGTACGGTGTACGTGGATAATCTTGAAGTAACATACATACCAATTTATAATGATTTAAAGCTGGTAGGGGCAGTCAACTTGTATTATTGCTTGATCCTTATCTACTGCCTGAGATTTAGGCAGTTCATTCTTAGCATTTAAAGAGAGAGATCTCTAATTTTAAAAGAGGGAACTAGGTCAAAATATACTTATTTTCAGAGTCTTATTTATTATTGAGTACTTTTGTTTTAACAATGCTTAAAAATATCTCAAAAATGGCGCCAACTGAAGACAGCTGATCAATCAACTGATACGACAGCTGATACGAAAGGCTGCATTTGATAGATTCATCCTTCGCGAACAGTCCCTTTATATCGTTAACTAGGCTTCATGGGCTTAACAAGAGTATTCTAATTAATTCAGAGTTATTATAGATCTAGGATTCAACCAGGATTAGGAACATTTCTGGTAGATTCTGATAGATTTAGGAAATCCACTGGATTTAGGATTTAACCAGGATTAGGAATGTTTATTGCAAATTCTGATAGATTTAGGAACTCCATTGAATTTAGGATCCAACTAAAATTAGGTACATTTTAGTGAATTCTGATGTGTTTTGAAACATTTTAAATTATAGGATTTAAAACTTTTAATCTCTAGTTCTTTTATAGAGGATTTAAGTGTATCATTGTGAATCAAATGACTAGGTGACAAACTACTGTTGAAAACGCATCTTCTGTCGTCACAACTCACAATATAATTGCTTTGCATCCGGCGTTTCTCCCAGTCTGTCGGAATCGACATTTCTCTCAGCGTATCGGAGTCGACATTTTTCTGAATGTATCGAAGTCGTCTTTTATCTCAGAGCCTCGAAGTAGACTTTTCTCTGAGGTTATCGAAGTCGACAAATGATGTATTACAAACCAAACTAATATTTGTTGTTTACTGTTTAAACTAACCTGCATTAGTTCCATGTATACGGCGGGATGCTGGGGTTGGTTAGCACTGTTTTTACACCTAGAGAAGGTTCAAGTGTTTTAGAAGAGTTTTTGCTCCGACAGTGGGAAGAAATGAGCTCAGTCTATATTTCACACTATTACCCTGGCCGTCGGAGCAAAACCAATACAAGGTTTATGATTGAAAAATTATGTTGGTAATTTGATTTTTGTGCTCTTCGGTAATGAGTTTAAATATACGGACACATTATCTAAGGGATTGATTACAATGTAATTATCTCATCCAAAGCTTTAACTTTTTCTATTCCTTCTGCTTTCTTCATCTTCTCATTATTTC